ACCCCACCCCATCTGTTAAGTGGCGTAGGATGACTAGAGGAGGTAGGAGTTGGGTACTTCTCCTCCCTTGAGGTTGGTTAGGCTCTGATAAAAGCCCAACAGCTTAAGGTCTGATAAAATAGTTTCTCTTGAGGGCAGGCCTTGATAAGAAAAGGAGAAAACTCTGGGATATTTCAAAATGTTTACTTTTTTCCCCCTTGAACCTTGTAGAGCTCCTAGATTTAAAACTCACAAAAGTGTGGAGTCTCCCTTAAGACAGACTTGTCCACACTGAGCCTTCAGCAAATTTTCAGTGAGAGTTTAGGTTTTCCTCTCTTGGCACTGGTTCCTGCAGAGTTTCCTGCACACGGGTTTTTGTTCCAGTAAGTTGTTGTCTGTATTCTACTGTCTTTTCTTCCCCATTTTAGGGACAGTGTATTTGCTTTTGACATCACTTCTCTGACAGATCTAAGAAGAGTTTTGATCTTCCAGTTTGTTCTGCTTTTTTCTTGTTAAGACGGAGTGATGACTTCCAAGCTCCTATGTGCCAGACTAGACATCAGAAGTCCCTGTTGTTTCTGCGAATGAGAAGTTTTCTTTTTCATTTGATATAATGGAAACTCCATTCTTTCTATTGATGAGGTTAAAATCTATTTTTTTGGAATTATCTTTGATTTCTTTCATTTTCCACATCTTAATAAAATGCCAGTAAATCCTGCAGTCCCCACCTTTGGTTTGGATCCTGATTTTGACCATACCTTGTCATCTCCCTTCCAACTACTCTCTTAATGACTATTGCCCTGATTACAGCAGTGTAGCTTCTTAGCTGGTTTCCCTGCTTCTATCTTTGCTCTTCTATAGTCTAAAGCTTAAAAGATCAGTAAGATTATTAATAATATTTGTAAACTGTGAGTCAAATCATTCCATTTCTTTGCTCTAAACATTACAAGGTCTTCCTTTTAACTAAGAGCAAAATGGAAAGTTTTTAAAATTGCCTTTGGTGCCATGAAAGGCCTCTGTTACCCCCAACTTTATTCGTAATATAATTTACCTTGCTCACTCTGCTCAAGAGACCACACTGGTCTCTCTATTGTTCCTGGAGCCCATGGCATTATCCTGATTTGGTGCTATTGTGCTGGATGTTACTGCTGCCCGATACTTCCTTAGTCCAAATATTCAGTTTGGTATGTTTATGCAGTGGCTGGTACTGGTTGCTCCTTTCCATGTTTAGTGCTTCCTTCAGGAGCTCTTTGTAGGGCAGGCCTGGTGGTGACAAAATCTCTCAGCAGTTGTTTCTCCATAAAAGATTTTATTGCCCCTTCGTTTATGAAGCTTACTTTGCCTGAATATGAAATTCTGGGTTGAAAATTCTTTTCTTTTAGGATGTTGAATATTGGTCCCATGCTCTTCCGACTTGTAGGGTTTCTGTTGAGAGATCTGCTGTGAGTCTGATGGGCTTCCTTTGTGGGTAACCTGACCTTTCTCTCTGGCTGCCATTAGCATTTTCTCCTTCATTTCAACCTTGGTGAACCTGATGATTATGTGCCTTGGGGTTGCATTTCTCAAGGAATACCTTTGTGGTGCTCCCTGTATTTCCTGGACTTGAATGTTAGCCTGCCTTGATAGGTTGGGGAAGTTCTCCTGGATAATATCCTGAAGAGTATTTTCCAACTTGGTTTTGTTCTCCCCATCACTTTGAGGTATGCCAATCAAATGTAGACTTGGTTTTTTCACATAATCCCTTATTTCTTGGAGGCTTTGTTCATTTCTTTTCACTCTTTTTTCTCTAATCTTGCCTTCTTGCTTTATTTCATTGAGTCGATCTTCAGTGTCTGATATCTTTTCTTCCACTTGATGGATTCAGCTGTTGAAACTTGTGTATGCTTCATGAAGTTCTCGTGCTGTGTTTTTCGGCTCCATCATGTCATTTATGTTCTTTCCACCCTAGTTATTCTCATTAGCATTTTGTCTAACCTTTTTTCATGGTTCTTAGTTTCCTTACATTGGGTTAGAACATGCTCTTTTAGCTTGGAGAAGTTTGTTATTACCCACCTTCTGAAGCCTGCTTCTGTCAATTCATCAAGTTCATTCTCCATCCAGTTTGGTTTCCTTGCTGGTAAAGGTTTGTGGTCCCTTGGAGATAATACATTACAATAGCAAAGACTTGGAACCAACCCAAATGCCCATTCATGATCAACTGGATAAAAAAAATATGGCACATATACACCATGTAACACTATGCAGCCATAAAAAATGATGAGTTAATGGCCTTTGCAGGGACATGGATGAAGCTGGAAACCATCATTCTCAGCAAACTGACACGAAAGCAGAAAACCAAACACCACATGTTCTCACTTATAAGTGGGTGTTGAACAGTGAGAACACATGGACACAGGGAGGGGAACATCACACACTGGTGCCTGTTGATCGGTGGGGGGCTAGGGGAGGAATAGCAGGGGGTGGGGGATTGGGGAGGAATAGCATTAGGAGAAATACCTAATGTAGATAATGGGGCAATCGATGCAGCAAACCACCACCACAGCACATGTATACCTATGTACCAAAATTGCACAATCTGCACATGTACCCCAGAACTTAAAGTATAATAAACATAAATGAGTAACAAAAATTCATATTTCTAGTTTCCTGGTTTTCTTCAAATCTTTACTTAAAATCTTTTTCTTGAGAACAGCTGCCATCAATGACCAGCTTAAAATTTGAACTTTGATCCTTTAGCTATTCTTTCAAATTATTCTGTGCTTGATTAAAATGGTCCTGTGATTTTTCTTTGAGGCAGTGTCTCACTCTTTTATCCTGGTTGCAGTGTGGTGGTGTAAACAATTATTGCTCTCTGCAGCCTTAATTATCTTGGTTCACACAATCTTCCTGCTTCAGTCACCTGAGTAGCTGGGACAGCAGGCATGCAACATCATGCCTGGCTAATTTTTAGAATTATTTTCATAGACACAGGATCTTACTATATTGCCCAGGCTGCACTTGAACTCCTGAACTCAAATGATTCCTTCAACTCAGCCTCTCAAAGTGCTAGGATTAGAGGTGTAGGGTACTGTGTGCTTCTGCAATTTATTGAGAATTACTCCCAATAATAAACCATGCTATATGGGCACAAATCTAAAATAAAAATAATTCTGACTTCTATTGTTTAAAAAAAAATTTTGAACTCATTCCCCCACCCTGTTGTATTCTAAATATCCCTTGCCCTCCTCTACTTAAAAAATATTTGCGAGGGCAGTTATAACTTCTAACATAAAATATACTTATTTATTAAATTAATTGTTTATAGTGTGTCTTCTTTTGAACTCCTTGCATGTAAAACACTATACTAGAATATTAACATTATTATTAGCAATTATAATAAACTGCATGAAGAAATAAGACAGATATTTTTGTCTGTTCAATTCCTTTACATATTCTAAGCACCTAAAATGATGCCTGGCAAAATAATAGGCGCCTGGTAATTTGTGGACTGCCAAATTAGATGTATGATATCATTGTGTGTGTTTATTTTTAATATAAATTTTATTCTAAATTGTGATACCCATACACACAAATACAAGCACACACACACACACACACACACACACACACACTTAGATTTATAGTGCCTAAAATTTGCAGTCCCCTGACCCCATCCAGCAACAAGTATAGTAAATGTATATAATCTGGTGTTCTAAAATATTTGTAGCATTAAATTTTATTTTAAAATACTTTAAAATGATTTTAAAATAACTGGTAGATCCTTTTGTAATAACATAGTGGTATCTTTTTAACAAAAAGAAGCATTAAGAATTATTCTTGGCGAATCATTTTCTGTATTTCAATTGTACCTAAAAAATCTTTTCTTCTTGTGACTATTGATAGAAATGTATCATTCAAGTTGTTTCTCATATATCTGATATCTTCTTACAGTATCAGAACACATGTCCTGAATTTCACTGTCATTTTCTTTGTTAATAGTTATACTTAACTAAGCTAATCTAGGGCTTTTTGTCAGTCTCTGTTAACTAATCACAATATTTTGATTCCATTAAAATTTTGTGTTTTACTAACATAGCTAGAATTCAGGTAATGTTGAAACCCTAAAGATAATTGTGAATTAAAATGATATTTCTCTAACATTAAATCCAAAATATTTTTAAACCATAATTCTTTGATAGTGTTTTACATGATTCCACATGTGAATTGCCCTGAAAGGACAGCGAGGATAATATTCAGGATATCATTCCAGGCACTCTCTGCACACCCTGCTACGTGAAGATCATCAATTTATAAGAAATGCTCTGTTTGATAGCGTTGCTCACCAGGTCTCTACTAATACATTTTAAAGATTTACATGTGCCTTCCAAATTGGCTTCCTACTCCAAATTCTAGAAAAAGAAATACATATCTGATGGTTAATAAAATCTACTCTGCTTTTCATTTATTACAACCTATACTTGAAAAAATTTATTGAGCATTGAACTACATACTTGATATACTGCAATAGAAAGGGCTCCTTAATGTGTCTAAAGAAGAGAATATAACACTACTCACCATGAATTAATCCTTGGAAAAAAAGAGAGAGAGAGAGAGAGAGAGAGAGAGAAAGAGAAACTATTATCAAATTGGAGTGGTAATGACATTTCTATTTTGAAAAAAAAAAAAGTTTCAGAAACTCTCAGTACTTATTATTTAGTTAAAAAAAGTGCTTATTTGTTCCTAGGCTTTATTCCAGCAAAGATCCCAATAGAAAAATTATAAAATGATGGCTTTTTAATTACCAGGAATAAATAAAACTTAAATTTTGAAAGAAAATTTGCGATCGAGGGCTGTCTATTACTAGGTTCCTGCACTTTTGGGACAACAAAAAAGCACATAGGTTTTTTTATTTGTTTTTCAGATGTAGCATCATTTTGTTGTTTTTCATTTACATAAGATTTTTATTTTAGGATAGTTTTATATTTATAGAAAATTTAGAAAAATAGTTTATAGTGTTCATGTGTAACATACACATAGCTTGGCTATTGTTAAGACGTTAGTATGAAAGCTAAGACAAAACCAAGGAATGATATTGATATATTAGTATCAGCAAAACTTCATATTTTACTCAGATTTTCTTAGTTTTTATCTAATGTTTTCTTCTTTTTCAGGATTCCATCCAAGACACCATATTACATATTATCGTGCCTTCTTAGGATTGTCTTAGCTGTGATGTTTCCTCTGATTTCATTGATACAGGATTTTGTGTTTTAAGGAATATGGGACAGGTGCTTATAGACTGTTCTCGTGATTACACTTGAGTTCTCGGTTTTTGAGGGAGGAAGACCACAGAGCTAAAGTGCTGTTCTTATTATATCATAGATGTGTACTGTCAACATTAGTTATCACAATTGATACCAACCATCTTCAGCTGACTGAGGTACCGGTAAGTTTCTTCTCTGTAAAGTCCCCCTCACAACTTTCTATACTATACTTTTTGGAACAAAGTCACTATGCATAACTTATTTCATTGACGAAGGATTTTGTGTTTTAAGGAATATGGGACAGGTGTTTATAGACTGTTCTTCAACAGGGATTTATTTGATATGTTCAGATAAATCTGAATAGATATGTTGCCCCCTCCTGGAAGGGGCAATACCAACGTAACATACATGGAACTCTTCTAAATGAGAAATCAACTTTCTTTTATTCATTTATTCAGTCATTTACTTTTGTCAATATGAATTTGTAGATATTTATTTTATGCTTTAGGTTATAATCTAATACTACATTATTTATTTTGTTGCTCAAACCTTCCAACTTTGGCAATTCAAGCTCTTTCAGTTAGCTCCTATGTCCATTTGACATGCCTCAGTGGTTTCTTTTCTTTTTCTTTTTTTCAACATTTCCTTTCATTTGTCAGTACCTCTAGGATTACCCTGTATATTTCCTGTCTTACAATCAGACATGTGTCTCAAGATGGCTGAATTCTTTGCTTGCAGAAGAGTGTTAGGAACAAAGGTCTGGGCAATGAGTGTATTTACTCATAATTACACTCACTGTAATGTAATTACAATGTAATTCCGGGTGGTGTTGCTTCTAGGATCACTTAGTAACAGATTTTGGAACTATGTGTGTGTTTACCAGCCCATGTATACACATTTAATCTGTAACTGGTTTTCTATTTTCCCATCTGTAGCTATATTAAGCTAAATCTAAGTTCACACTAATGTCTCTAACTGTAATCCGGTATCACATGGTTCCCTCTAACCTTCGCCCCTTGATTATACTTAACATTCACTCCAACAGTGAGAAGTCTGGCTCCCACCATTTGCAATCCATTTACTGATTGATTTGATCCTAAAACACAACTTCAGTAGTTCCAGAATTGTTAATAGTGAAGAAACAACTTTGCCGACTGGAGGACGATGCTTATATATGGTTCCTCTTGTCTTTAATCTTAAAGTCTCCAGAAATTTTCAAAGTTACTTAGTATCCGCTACCCCACCCTTCTCAATGAGAATACATCACACATTTGCAACACAGTCACAATATTTTGTCACAGTATGCATGCTATCATGGGATCCCTCAACGTCCTAATTTAATTTTTATATTTTCATACATTGTCTCAAACTTTGTGCTCTAAACTTTTACGGGTTTTGAAAAATGAATAATATCATGTAAATACCAACATAGCATCTTGCAGAATATTTTCAAAACTCTAAAAACAATACAAGAAAACAAAAATTTTACAAAATTTTATTCAAAAGTATCTGCTTTACAAACCTTGGGAAACCACTAATCTTTTTTCCTTCTACAAGCTTTTGCCTTTCCAAGATGTCATACAAATGGTATTATGCAACATGTGGCATTTTTACACTGGCTCCTTTACATAGTAATATGCATTTAATGTATACATTGTATTATGCAGAGTGGTACTTCTTTTAACAAAAATAACTAAGTTGTATCCAACTGTGTGCATGTATCACAGTTTGTTTTCCCACTAACCTCTTGAAAAACAACTTAGTTGCTTCCAGTTTCGTAATCGTGGGTAAAGTGGCTATAAACATTTGCGTGCAGATTTTTTGACTATAATATTTTGGATTAGTTGAGTAAATGCTTTTTAGTAAGATTGATGAATTGCATTGTAAGTCTATATTTGACTTTATAAGAAATTACCTAATATTGTTGAACCTGAGCAAGTTAGAGAGAGCGACACACTCTGAGATTGAATCAAGAGTCCCTTATTTGCCAGTGACAGAGGTGATGCACAAAATTCTCTTGGCCCGGAGAAGGGACTTTGTCTTCTTTTATACCTTGCTTAAAGGAAGGGAAGGGGGGGGCTAGCTAAAGCGGAGTTTACAGAAGCAGAACAAGCAAAAAGTTAAAAGGATACACTACTGCAGGAAGATATACGGTTGTAAATGTAGGGGCTTTCAGTTAAAAGAATAAACTACTACAGGAAGATAAACAGTTGTAAATGTGGGCACATTCCAAGGAGCAGCTGATACCATCAGCAAACTCATGCCCAGGTGCAGCTGGTACAGCTTAACTTGGTATCTTATCAGTAAGGATGTTCCTGGGTCTGCTTGGAGTCAGCTTAACCCAGCTATGTGCTCAGGGGAAGGGGAAGTGGGGGCAAGTGAGGAAACTAATACGGAGTCTGTCCAGGTCAAGAAGCTAACATGGGAGAGAGTCGGTTAGGCTAACAAAGCTAGTAGGTTATCACACTATCTTCCAAAGTGTCTGTACCATTTCACATTCCCACCAGCAATGAATGAGAATCCTATTGTTCTATTCTCTCCCAGCTAGATTTTCAAATATTTTAAAATCTAGCCCTTCTAATAGGGATATAAAGTTATTTCATTGTTGTTTTAATTTGCATTTCCCTCATGACAAATTATGGTGGGCTTTTTTTTTGGTATGCTTGTCAACTGTTTGTCTTCTATGGTGAAATAGTTGTTGTGATCTTTTGCCCATTTAAAAAATTTTGTTTGTTTTCCTCTTGTTAGTTTTATTTATTTATTTACCTGAGACAGAGTCGAGTCTCGCTCTGTCACCCAGGCTGTAGTGCAGTGGCATGATCTTGGCTCCCTGCAACGTCCACCTCCAGGCTTCAAGCAATTCTCCTATTTTGGCCCCCTGAGTAGCGGGGATTACGGTTGCATGCCACCATACCCAGCTAATTTTTGTATTTTTAGTAGAGACAGGGTTTCATCATGTTCGCCAGGCTGGTCTCGAATGCCTGACCTCATGATCTGCCCACCTTGGCCTGCCAAAGTGCTGGGATTACAGGCATGAGCCACCACACCCAGACTTCTTGTTAGGTTTTAAGAGATCTCTGCATATTCTAGATACAAGTCCTTTTTCAGACATGCCAGTTGCAAATATTTTCTCCAAGTGTCTTTCACAGAGCGAAGTTTGTAATACAGCTCAACTTTTCAAACTGCTCTTTCATGGACTGTATACTTTTGAGACAGCCAGGTTGGGGGCGTGGGGTCCCTGCAGAAACTCCAACCAGTTTGCACACTGAGGTAGCACCTCAGGAAGTTCAGGAGATTTGCAGCAGGGAGGGTCCTGACCCCTCTTCTTCCGGTGTGGAACCTGAGATTCAAGCTGCTGGGTGGGAAGTACTCTAGTGGAGGGACTCTGGCCTCGTGAGAATTCCTGTTTCCCACTTTCTGTTTTCCTTTTCAGCCGATGAAACCCTGCTTTACTTACCCTTTTAGCCATTTGTAAATTTTCATGGCCGTGGGACAGACAAGCACCCCATCTTTAGCTGAACTTAGGAAAAGTCCTGCAACATTTTTGGTGCCCAACATGGAACTCAAGAAGCGGTGAGTGAAATGGGGACTCAAAACCTCTCACTGTTATGTCTAAGCCTTTTCATTCTTGGACATCTGGGGGTGGGGAAAACTATGCCTCCACCCCATCTAGCTCAAAGGCCTTTTCATGGCCTTTTCCTTCCTTTTTAAGGACCCACCAGTGAGCAGCAGTTCCCCGCGCCCCCGCCCATCCCTGCTGGGAATGGGATGCATGGCCCGAGGGTCCTGCACAGCTGCCCTGCTGGTTCACAGCCACATATCACTGTTCCAGCCTTCCCAATCCCTGGCCAAGGGGTTTAACTCTGTCTGATAGTAATCATGCTTATGATGGAGGAACCAGTTGCAAAAGAATAAGAGGTTCTTCTCGAGGCATTTTTAAACTGTTCTTTTTTCCTTCTCCTTCTCTACCCCATCAGCTGTTAACCTTTAGTTTTTTTTTTTTTTTTCCTTTTAGAAAACCTTTTTACTAAACCAGGCCCTCCAACTATCAATGTTTGTTGTCTCTGTAAAGTTTTGGTTGTGAAAAAGGATTTTGTGGATACTGGGTTTTCTTCTGTCTGGGTTTTCTTCTTCTGACAGGCAGGCACGGAGACAGCCTGTCTCGGTGTGTGTTGTGAGTAATGTCTGTAAAATGAGCTCGAATTCATTTGTCTTGAAGAAACTCAAGTGCTTCGATCAAATGCCTTTTTTAAGTGAAGGTGAAGGCCATGGTAACTTTCAGTTTACATGACTTTAATCGTTGAAAAATAAAAATGGACCTAAAAACTATTGTTAAAATGCAGGTCAGATGCAAGGTTTGCTAAGTGTTTTGAGGTTACAAACTGCTTTTCGGGTTTTGAGAACGATTTGACTTGTTGGCTTCACAACTGGTAAGGCCTGGAGATAGATGAACTAACCACACCCTTAATTCAGAAGGCAAACCCTGGCTGCAGTTAGCACACAATGAAAACAACTTACCAAGTTTTACCTTAAAATTAAACATGCTGGAAGTTAATTGAAACTACTAGGAATAGATTTACATGCAAGGTGTGTAAGAACAGTGAAATGCGTTTTTTAGTGAAAGGTTATATGGAGGCAGGGAAGTGTAAACTTGTGTCTAGTGTTAAAGGACTGTGCTAAGTTAAATGAGGAAAATGCTGAAGGTTCAGGAAGTGGTGGAAGGCTTGTGAAAATTAATCTTGCAGAAGAGGCTCTGTGTGTGAAAATATTGACTAAATTCCAAAAAGGGTGTTACATGGTTTTTTCTCTAAATTGAGCATTCAAATAAAAGAATAACAAGGTTTTTCCCAGGTGCTAATCTGCTCTTTGGCAAAATTTATAAAGGGTTATCCAAGGTTTTTGCTTCTTTAAAATTTCTGAGTCATCATTTTGGCAAAATAAGTAATTTATGATAATCTGGAATTCTATTTTATAATATCAAGTGTTTTAAACCTCGAACATTTAACACACTTTCCAAAATCAAACTTCAGTTTTAAAATTGTCTTTTCTGGTAGCTGGCTTTTTGAATACTTCAGAGGGCCCCTGAAGTATCTAGAAAAGAGGAGTGAACAGGATTATTTGACATGTTGAGGAACATGGGACGGCAAAATGATGCTCAGTCTTCTCTAGGTTATATTTTTGTGAATAATGCTAATATATGTTCCAAAATTGTATGAGATTTCTAAAATTCTAATGTCTGAGTATATGCTACCAAATATAATTAGGGTTATGTTAAGTTATCGTAAACCACGGAGATAACCAAACTTCTTTGTCAGTCATATTTCTAACTGTAACTACTCTTGCATTTTGCTATTCACAGAGAGTTGTCGCCTTGTTTTAATGCTTTTTAAAAGATGGTTTGTAATAAGCTGTGGGACGTTGACATGTGCTCTCAAATACTGGCTTCTGATAATTTCGCATATTGTGACATTAGAATACAGAAAAATATCCAGGTCTCGTGAAGAGCCTAAATGTTCATGGCCAAGGAACAGAAAAGCACTCTGTGTTTAGCTAAACTAAGAAAAAGTCCTGAAACATTTTTTAATGTTGTATCTAAAAATGGACCTCAATACCCAAGGTCACTCAAATTTTCTCCTGTGTTTTCCTTTAGGATATTGTTCAGGCTATAGCCTATTTTGAGTTAATTTCTGTACAATTGTGAGGTCTGTACTTAGATCCAATTTTTTCCACATGGATACCCAATTGTTTTAGTACCTTTGTGGGAAAATTTACCTTGTTCCATTAAACCTCTGTGCTTTTGTCAATAATCAGTTGACTATATTTGCATAGACGTATTTGTGGTCTCTTTATTCTGTTCCATTGATTTATGTGACTGTTATTTCCCCAGTAATGATCTGTCTTGATTATTCTAGTTTTATGTTAAGTCTTGAAATTAAGTGTTGTGAGTCTTCCAACTTTGTTCTTTTTAAATGTTTTCCTGCTTTTCTACATGCTTTGAGCTTCCATATACATTTTCAGACCTGTTTGCTGATGTCTATAGTATTTTAAAACTTGACAACTTAACAATATTGAGCATCCTAATCCATGAATAGAGAATAATTCTTCCTTTACCTAAATCTTTGAGTTATTTCCTGATTGTGGTTTTTTTTATATACAGATGCTTTAGAGATTATATTTAAAAATAATAACTTTTTGCTGTTATTGTACATTGTACTTATTTTTTAAAATGTATATTCCAATTGTTATTTGTCATATCACAAAAAAGCAAACAACCTTTTATACTGACCTTGTATTCAGTGAACTTTTTATACTCGGTGTATTAGTTTTCCTATAGTCTTTGAGGTATTCTACATAGCCAATCATGTCACCTGAAACTAAGGACACATTTAATTTTTCCTCTGAATCTGTATGTCATTTAAAATTCTTTTTATTGTACTAGATAGGATGTTCAGTTGATGTCATCAATATGAGTATTGATAGATGACATACTGCTTAATTCTTGAACTTAAGAGGAATGTATTCAGTCTCTTATTAACCACGATGTTAACCATTGATTTTTTATATATATCCTTTATTAAAAAATGCTTTTATTTATGGTTTTCTGACAGTTTTTATCATGAATGTGTGATAAACTTTTCTCCATCATTTAATATGATCTTTTTCCCTTTTTCAGTTTGTTAATATGAATTTCAATAATCAAAGTACATGCTTTGTGTACTTTCTATTCTTTTAAAATCATTAAAATGTTTTTAATAGCTAAGATATAATCTACCAGTGAATATGCCATTTATGCTTGAGAAGAATGTGAATTCTACTACTGCTGGATGAAGCATTCTATAATTATCAAGCAGATTGAGTTGATTGATACTTCTGCTCAGGTCATATATCTCCTTACTCATTTTCTGCCTACCTGACATATTAATTATTGACAGGGATGTGCTGAAATTTCCAACAAAAAGTTGATTTCTCTATTCCTTCTTTCAGTCCTCAGTTTTGCCATACATAGCTTGGTGCTCTGTTGGTAGGCGCTCACATATGTAGGCTTGTTATTTCCCTTTGAACAAATGACCCCTTTACTTTGATATGCTTCTCTTTATTTCTGATAATCCTCTTTGTTTGGAAATCTTTTTCAAATGAATATTTGAAACAGCACTCCAGTGCTGTTTTTGTTACTGTTATAATGCTATATATTTCCCATATTATTAGTTTTAACTTGAAGATTATATTTAACTTTAAGTAATATACATAAATTATAAATATTTTTATATTTAAAGTGGGTTTATTATAAACAACATATAGTTGTTTTTTTTAAAAAATTCAATCCAGTAATCTGTTTTTTAAATTCAGTGTTTAGACTATTCAAATGTAAAGTGATAATTGACATAGTTGGATTTAAAATTACCATTTTAGTAATTGCTTTCTATTCATTGTATTCATCTTTAGATTTTTTATATCCCTTCTGACTTCCTAGGTTTCAATCGATAACGTTTTATAATTCTATTTTATCTCCTTTATTAGTATATTAATTATATTTCTAAGTAAATCAAAGATTGCCTTAGAGCTTACAATGTACATTTTTAATAATCTTGTGTACATTCAAATAACACTATTCCACTTTATTTGTAGCACAGGTGCCTTATAACAGAGTCGTCCCATTCTTTCTTTCATCCTTTGTGTCACTGTTGACATTTGATTCACTTATCTGTATTTAACAGTCACTCAATATGTTGTTAGTGTCATTTCTTTAAGCAGTTATGTTTAAGAATAATACATTAAATATTTGCATTTTACCTGCAATTTTTCGGTCTGATACTGTTTTTTTTTTTTCTTTAGATAGGTGCCGTTTTCTGACCTATAGTCTTTCCTGCCTGAAGAGATTCTTTTAACATTCTTTCCTGAGCAAATTAGCTAGTAACAAATTCCCAAATTCCCTCAGGTTTTTTTTTTTTTTTTGGCATTTTTTTTTTTAAAAGCCCTTATTTGTCCCTCACATTTGAAGAATAATTCTAAGTTTGTGGTTTTATTTTTTTTCTTTCAACACTAAATATCTCATTTCACTGTCTTTCATATATAAGTTGTATTGTTTTAGTTTTTTTCTGGCTGCTATAATAAAATATCATAGACTGAGTGGCTTATAAACAATGTATTACTTGCAATTCTGAAGAAAGTCACAGGTTGGCCCAGCATTGTGGCTCATGCATGTAATTTCAGCACCTTGAGAGGCTGAGGTGGGCATCACTGGAGGTCAGGAGTTGGAGACCAGCCTAGCCAACATGGTGAAACCCTATCTCTACTAAAAATACAAAAGTTAGCCGATTGTGGTTGTAGGCACCTGTAATCCCAGTTACTTGGGAGGCTGAGGCAAGAGAATTGCTTGAATCCGGGAGGCAGTGGTTGCAGTGAGCTGAGATCATGCCACTGTACTCTAGCCTGGGTGACAGACAGACACTGTCTGAAAAACAAAACAATAAAAAACAAAAGCCCAGGATTAAGGTGCAACCAAATTTGACGTTTAGGAAGGGCCTCCTTTCTAGATAACCATCTTTTCACCGTGTCTTTACCTGGCAGAAGGA